CTCATGGCATGTGTGGGACACAAGTAATGAACCAAGATATGAAGAGCTTGCACATTTCCAAGAATTCACAAAATACATCTCTGCTTTAAATAACCTCTGTTCTGCTTTTGGGAAATAAGTGGTTAGCAAGGATGGTTCAGAGCAGAGCAATGGATGTACAAATGTTTAATTCATTGATATAGAGGTTGTGCCAGTCAGAGCCAGAGATGTTCAAATGCCTTCAGTTTCTGTTATCTATTTCTGTGATGTTTCCACTGTGACAAATTCACAATTCTGTAATAAACTGGTGTTTCTGAACAAAGACCACTTCATGTCAAGCCTTTAGAAAATATGCATCTTTAGTACAATTTACTCCTGATTTTTTTTTTTTTTTAATAGAAATTATTCTGTAGTGCCATTTTTATACCTACTCCTCAATACTTTTGGGAAATATCCCAAAATATACTAAAAAAAGCACTATGGTTTTCTGCATCACTGCTAGAAATCAAAGCATTCATGTGCAGAATAAAGAAGAATTTCTTTCTGTATAAGCATTTTTCTTCTGTTGCCTGAATCCAGTCTCTTGATAATCAGCAATTACAGAAAAGAATTATAACAATCAAATGGGAGTTTGCACTTATAGAAATTCAAGCTATTTTTTGCATGAGTTATTCAGACAGAGAAAGCTGTTTGGAAATTTATCAGTAAATGAAAGAAACTGCTATTTCTGAAAACTGAAATTGTATTAATAGAGATTCTAAGGGGTCTAAAGAGGAGCAGAATCCATTTGGAACCAATTTGGTCTTCTCAGAAACAGGAAAGGTTAAATAAGGGGATTTAAGGAGCTTTTCCTCTATGAAAACATATTCTATCATATCCTCTGTAGAATTCTATGGTATTTCAGAAGGTGATATTTGGGGTTCCATAGCATTTTTAACTTGGGCAACTTTTAGTAAATGGCAGCTTGTTCACCCATCCCACACATACTCTCCAAACTCTGACTGCTCACACCTTGCAAAAAGACGGAGCGAGGCAGAGATTATGAAATTATAAATTGTGGTCATTCCACAAACAGGAGCCCCAGCTCCCATTTCCTCAACCTTCTGCTGGCAGACAATGGGTTAAATACCCAATTCCCAGGCCTGAAAGAAGGGGGAATGCAATAGCGAGCAGAGAACCCGGCGAGGCGGGGACACCTCTCACAGCACAGCAGTTTTGTCCCTTTTAGAGGGAGATCCAAACCCACATGTCGGAACCGTGTCCCGGGCGGGGCTGTGCTACTGGAAGGTGTCGCTGGAGCTGGGACCATTCCAAGCCCAGTGGCCCGCGGCTCCCCGCGCGCTGCCGCGGCCGGGAGCGCGCGTTTCCATGGCAACGCCGCGGGGACGCGCT